GGATGGAGGGGAACGCCGGGGTTGCAAGGAAAACCAGAACCAAAAAGTTTTTTCCCTTGAACTCCAACATAGTGTTTATTGATGGATGCACCTCCTGTTTGGTTCGGGCTGAGAGAAGGTACAGCTGGAGGCAGGAACTGGGGCCCTGCAGGGACCTTCAGCTGCCCCGGGCTTTTATTTGTGATGACGCTCGGTGACGGGCTGTGCTCTGGCACCCGATGGACCTTGGACAACTCCTTTTGCTCCCCAAAGCTACAGGAAGAAAATGTTCTTTCTGTAGGGCCCAGATCTTCAGGCTTCCGAGAGGCACTTGCCACGCTTGCCAGTTGATCTTGGCAGCTTAAAGCCGAGCCAACTTTGGAATGTTTTTCTGGAACAGACCGATCCTGTGCATCCTCTGCTCTGGGGAACGCTGCCCCTGCCCCACACTCCTCCTGGGGATCTAGGGCAGATCTCACCGAGTGGAACTCGTCGCTCCTGCTCAGGCCACTCGTCTTTATTCCTATGTCTGGAGAAGAATCTTTGCCCAGATAGCAACTTCAGAGGCCTCCTGACTGCTTGTCCAGCGCTGGCTCCGTGACTTCCACCTTGATGCTGGCGTGAGACGCTGGGAGAACTTCCTCCAGTGGAAGGTTCCCCTTAAGCAGCTGCATCACCAGGGGGCTGTTGGTCTCTGCAGAGGCCACGGGCTGGGCAGGACCCGTTGGCTGCTCGGCTCTCTGGGGCAAGGCCGTGTGTGGTGCCCAGCGCTGAGCCGCAGGCATGGCACCCACTGCTGAGGGGCAGCCCACAGCACAGGCCAGGCCGTCCGGTTCCACAGAGCATGGTGGTCTCATCCTGTCACACCTCTCCGTGCTGCTCTGACAGGAGTCTCTCCCAGCCACCTCCCTGCAGCTGATGCTCCTCAAGCCTTCATCCATCTCCGTGTTCCCATCGGCTACGTCAGCCTCACAGTCGGAGGCGGTGTCCGTCTCGCTGTGTGTACTCTGCACTTCATCCTCTCCCTTGGTCTTCAGCTCTGGCGTCTCCCTCGGTGGCTGATGTGCATTTTCTGCCTCTGCTCCGGGGCACCTCTCCCCCAGGTGCAGAAGTTTTTCAGAGGTATCTATCCTGTTCTGAGAAATAAAGTCATTGTGGAAGGGGGGTTTCGCCAGGGACTCCGTGTCCTGCTCCTCAGGGTGCAGTTTGCCACCACTCTCCTCCTCCACCTGCCCCTCTGCAAAGCTGCTCAGCGCAGGGACCGCCTGCCCCACGCCAGGAGTCACTGCTCTGGACTTACCACTATCGGCCACACATTTCTCCACCAACGTTTCAGAGCCATTAAATCTAATCCTAGACACTATCTCAGGCTCGTGGTATTCTTTACCACTTGGTGACAGCTCTGGCAGAAGAGCAGGACAGCTGGAGGACTTTTCCTTTAGGTCACAAGGATAATCCAGCTGTACGATGGGAGCACCGACACCTTTGAGTTCTGACACAACCCTGTCTCCCACAGGACCCATCACAGCTCCCTGCACCTGAGGACACGACAGACCGTTTACTGGAGGAACCACAAGCTTCAGCTTTGTGCTCTGCCTCTCCTGTGAGGCACCACAGGACGGGGTTTCGGTCCTTGGGTCACGGAGGAGCTGCCCAGGGCTCCCCTCCTGCCTCTCAGAAGTTGCACCGCCCAAGGATGACCCACTCAAGGCATCACAGAACTGCCTCCTAGGCGAACCATCAGCAGGCTGAGCTTCCCCTGCAGCACGCTCCAGATCACCACCTCCCTCGCTCTGTGAGGACAAGGGGCCTCGCCCCGAGGAGAGGAGGGAACTCGCGTGGGCCTCCTGAGCAGCCGCCCCCGGGCTCAGCTGGGGAGGCGACAGTAGTTGTGCTCGCTGTAGATCTGACGAACGCTTTCCGTGAGTTCTCCGGGACCTCCTGTGCCCTGCGCGGCTGCCGGGCTC